TTCAAAATTTGCCACCATGTCCGCATCAATGTGTCAGCCCTAGGATGGCCGGAGGCTTGCGAAACAGGTGACACACAAACTTATCCCCGTCACGGCTAATTTGCAGATTTTAGCCTCACAGTTTGTATACGTACACACACATCACACACGCATCACACAGTTGGTCGCCCTTCGTTCGAGTAAGCGAGGCGAGTTTGACTCTGCTTTTTGTGTGCGTAGCTCACTAAGCGTGAAACATAAACACGACGCATCAAAAAGAAACGACATCACACATCTTTTCCGTTCCGTGGACTTGTGGCAAAAGTCAGTTGTCATTTCTGTGGGGAGTCAGAGTCGAGGTTGCCAGCAAAGTGAGTGTTGATGGTGATGATGATGTGCCGAGAAGATGCATATCGCGAGTAGCAGCGTAGAAGAGAAAGTCACTGCGATTTCCCTCATACTTTCCTGTCTCCAGGCAGACTGGGATTCTACCGTTTGACGATTTGTCGTGTCCTCGTGCAACTGTGGTTTGCATTCCTTGAGGGCACTTTCGAGTACACACGACTTGGTTGAGGGCTTGAAAAGTCCAAATTGCTCCACTCTTTAAACGGAGGTCGAAGCCTTGGCACAAACAAACAAACGCATTAGTGTGACCAGGGCGGAGAGTGAGATGGGCATTTATTGCGAAAAGAAGCAGTGGTCGTGGTGGTTGACGTTGGAAATGCCACGGGGTCGCGACCACAAAATTCACCTGACAAAGTGGATCCTTCGAGTGAGGGCTTTTGAACACAAAACGCTCAACCCAAGTTATTCCCCAAGATGCAAATTAGATCGACGTGGAAAGTCAACACTCCTCCACTTTGGGCTACATAAACAAACAAGCATAACATTTTAGACGGCGGAAGAGTGTGAACTATGCGACTTGTTTCCTTTGTTTGTAGTTTAAACATTGCTTTATTTAACAGTGTCAATTCACTGGTAACTGGAACAAGAGCAAATATTTGAGAGCGGGAACGAGCCAAGTTTTCAACAATTATTGCAAAACTTTGTTCAAAGGAATCCTTTACGGTTTGGTGGCTCGTGTCCTTTTGCTGGCTGCGTCTGGAGTGAGAGCGAGTGATGAGAATTTGCATTCACAACGGCACCCAAAACCAAGTCAATTCTCGATCCAACCGAGCGAAGAAACCTCATTTTGTTCAAAATCCCAATAAATTGCACATCTTCTTCTGGGCTGATGTGTGTGATGCGCCTCTTCCTCTCCTGGATCTGGCATTTACCGGAAATTGGAAGAAACAAATGACCAGTCCGCCCTGACTCCGCAAACTGAGTGAGTGGCGAGGAGGAGGAAGGACGGAGAAAGCATTTGGTTGGCACATATGTGAGAATAATGTCGAGAGCGGAGAGGAGTGAGCGAGGGAGGGATGATGAATTGAAACAAATCTCTGGAGGCTTATTTCCTCGTCTGTATCCCGATTGAATAATCTGCCCGCTGACCCACCAAATCCACGCACAAAACTTGCATAGAAATCAAATCCACGAACTTATTTGACCCACCAATTCAAAGAATCCAACCCGTGCGACCTCCAGATTGCTTTCCGAACATCAAACCCAAAGGGAAAGTCAAAGACCAATTTCCATCAGAGACAGACAGACACAAACCGCTCCATATATTCATCTTCCACACGTGCAATGTGATCGTGTGTAACACACGGTCAAACATTTATTGGAATTGGGGTACACACTGGGCGAGTAAAACAATTATAGTTATTTCACTCCTTCTTATTGTTGTATTTGGTCAATATTACTGACGACTTGACCACCTCGTCACGTGGCCGGAGAGATGTGTGGCTGGAGAGAGAGAGGAGGAGGTGAGTGACTGGGCTGAAGTTATGCAAGCGTGAAATGCGGACAAATGGGACATAAAATAGGGCGAGATTTAGTCATATCAGGAGCCATGTGGGACAGGAAGTGTTTTTGTGTGGACCTGGTGAAGGGGATGATGGGCAGAGGTGGTGGTCTCGCTAAGCCCGCCTAAGTCTCCTTCTTCTCAAGACTTTTCCCCTTCTGTCTCGTGGACGACGACGACGACCAATTCAAGAGAATCACGTTCCAGGATTTTCCAAAAGATTAGATTGATCTTTCTTTGAGTTCCCATCTTTCAAGCAGACTGTCAGACCCATCTTTCTCCCTTCCGACTCGCCCAACTTGTTAATACACGTCCAAACTCAATCTTTCCCTCCCCAGATATGAATCACTCTCTCTCCATGCCTACCTATCCAGTGCATCACTTTGTCCTGCGTATATCAGGGGCCCGCACTGGTCTCATCACCACCACGATAAGCACACGCGGCATGTTCTGGTATGCAGACTCAGAAATTCCACTAACGACCTCCTCGTCTCTCTATTTGTAGGAAGTCCGAAATAAATCTCCGCCAGCCTGCATTTCCTTGCTCACAATATTGAGCGCAATACGTATCTCCACATGCAAAATGTTTGCGGCGTCTGCATAGTTTGGTTGGTGGTAGCGGCGGCGGCGGTGGTGGCGGTGGGAGAACCCTCCAGATTTCTTGTCTGATTGCTGGGAAATGGAAACAGATGAGTAACTTATTTCCGTGAGAACTTTCTCCTCGTCAAAGTCTGCTCCCTACAAATTTAGGCGGCCAAGAGATGAGATGCAGGGTCGTGTAGCCGGTCCTACTACTCGCAGCAGACATGGATCGCAGGGTTTGGTCGTGAGTTGGAGAGGACGAGACACGCCAAACTTTTGGAAATCTTTATGAACGGATCAGTAGTCGTGGGACTGGGGACGTGACGACAATAATTTATTCAGACGGCAGATGGAATTAAGTGATTTTTTCTACTCCGTTCCCATGTTTTTTATTTGCATCATTTTTGAAGGTGTGTGTGTTTAGGCTGTCGGGATTACAAAATGTAGTGCATTCATCCTCACGAAGTTGGATATTTGCAAGATGAGGTTGCACTTCATTGGCACTGCCACTTTCTCTCTTTTCTCTCTCGCTCTGGAGGGCGAGCGGAGAAAGTTATTACTTTGGGAGAAGTTGTGAAGTAGGGAAATTGAGTGTGGCGTAGGAGTGGAGGGCAGGAGGAGCAGGGCGGAAGGTGGTCGTAGTGGTGTTGATATTATTATCATTTGGAATGAGTGGGGGAAAGTGGAGAATAAAATAAGCAGGAAAAACTTTCTCCGTGTATGTGTACGTAGTCCATTATCTAACCAAAGTTAAAGTTGAGAGTTCCAATTTTCAACTTTGAGCCTTGTTAAACTTAAAGTCGCACAAGACCGAATTCTTCTCTGCTCCATGTCCTCCGTCCGACGACGAGTTCGAGCTGAACACACCCATCTGGAAAGGATGAGCATCAGCCAGCCAGCATGAATACTCACTCTCTCCGCCTGATGCTCATCTGTGGTGGTGGTGGTGGATGTGAGTGAGGTTGGTGTTGGTAAGCAAAAAATGAATGCTTTTCCTCCGTCTTCCATTTATTTTCTTTGACTTTCTCCATGAACTCCCGTCCAAATTCCTCACTCCGCGATGCACTCCAGTCCAAGGAGGAGGAAGAGCAAAGAGAAAGTTGCTTGGTCTCTTCTCGCTGTTTACCCGCAGATCAAAGTATCAACCAACTCCTCGTCCTCTGCTGCTGCCTCTGCCCTCAGCCAAGTCCAGACCCACTTTCTTCCTCTTCATCTCTCTCCTTGTTCCTCTCCCTCCATTTCCTTGCTCACTTTTCGACCTGCACCCTGAGCAAGCAAGAAAGAACAAGGTGAGCTCTTTCTCCGCCGTCTTCTCACTCTCTTAAACCAATGCCAAGTTCTCGGAATGTTTTTACCTCCGGAGGCAGCAGACAAGTCTTGTAGGCCGTGGAAGGCATGGGAGAAAGTAGTTGGAAGGTGGTGGGTATAGGAGATGATCTGCTCGGTCTGGTCACCCGGGTTGAAATTCTCTTTCTCTTTCCCAATCTGGCTTGCTTCTTGACTTGGGGCAGCGTGTTTTGCTTTGGTTGGGAGTCGTGTCCGCCCGATTGAGAGTCATAAATCATGGGGATAATAGGGAGTAAACGGCGGGTGCCTCTGCCGGCCGGAATAAAAGAAGCGACCAAGAGGAATTCTGTTGATGATGTTCCCTGCCTGGCTGGCTGGCTGGTGAGGAGTTGATGATGATCATCAACTGAGGAGGATGACGATGATAAACTCGCTCTCCCTCCCCAACGACTTCCTCCACTCAAATCCGCCCTTCACCCCCCACGAATAAATCCCTCCACCCTCCTTCACTACCCACCACGTCCCATGGAATAGCAGATCGCTCATATATGCCAAGGCCCATGCATAACCCTCTTGTCACCAACAACTTGTTTGTTTTCTTCCCACATTCCGCCACGAGGAAATATTTCGCAAATATTGTCCCAAATTGAGCAGAAAGTTGTGGTTTCAGTCAGACGCCGAGTAAATTTTACATACTTTGTTCCCACTCACACAAACCTTGTTACGTAGCAAGCAAGCAACTAAATACACATCATAAGTTATGTTGATAATTATTCCAAACTTGTACCTGTGAGGCTTGTACAATGGGAATGGTGGGGATTATTGTGGTTTCATTTGAGAAGGGAAAACTTATTGGGCTGGTCAAAGGACGAAACTGTTGAATACGAGAGATGTACTTGCAAGAAAGGTGTGTGGCGAGCTGCACATTGTTTGAAAGAGCAAAGAGTACACTGAAAGTTTGGGAACAAAGTCTTGAATAATTTTGTGGCAGGCTGGTGGTGAGAGTGGGAAGTGAGGACAATCGAGGTTGGAGTGGAGCGGGGGAGAATTGTTTTGGGGGCATGAGAGCAAGAGATGACGTTGGACAAAGCTGAGGGCAAAATGCAATTTAATTTGTAGGACTTTCTCTCTCGCACACACAGATTTTGAGTAAACTAGTTTTAGCCCCGATATCACGACTCCTCAGACCAAAAAGGTAACAAATTCAGCCAATGTTTAAAATTCAATTTGTTTCATTTTGTTACAGATGATGGGAACACATCGTCCCACGTTGCACGCTCATCTGCATTATCTCGGAAAAGCTCCATGTGCCACTAAATCCACATTAGATTACGGAATTTAATCAAACTGAATTCAACCCACTTCCACCCAGGAATGGCACCAAATTCCAACGGAGAACACATTCAGACGGCGCGTTTGATATGAACAAATCCGTGTGTACCTCGTCGTCCTCTCGTCTCGCGTATCTTTCACCTGTAAAGCCAAGCAAGGCAATCATTCGCCAGCCAACAAGAGCAGCCACAAAAATCACTTAGTAATCCACGAGATCAAGTGATGAGATCATGCCCCGAGTCCGCCTCGATTGTCTGACGGTCAACTTCAACTCGACGTGGGAAATTTCCAGCAATCAGGAACGATGAGCGAAGAAGATGCTGCTTGTTTCGTCACCCCTTCTTCGTCATGGCCACCTGCTACGCGACGCATCTTCACCGACGCGTAGGAATGCTCTCGTCCTGACTCCAGTGACTGGACATCCGTCTCCACCAGGTTACGAGTGTCTGGGGATCAAGGTGCGAATGACTTGCTCGAGAGAAGCAGACCCATCGTCGTGTATCTGTCCGACTGACTTGTGGGCGCAGACAGTGGTGGGCGTGGTGGTCTTGTGGGGAGAAAATGTGCACCACAGCTCTTCCTCTGCCGCCATCACGTACCTGGGAGAAAGTGAACTCTAAACAATAGGTTATCTAGTAGGGAAGGAGAGAGAAACAGTGAGCTGGACGGTTTTTGGATGAGTGCATGTGAGGAAAAGTGTGGATCCGACCAGGGCACGAGAAGCCGACAGCAGCAGAGAGCCTGACTCCAAGACGAGGAGCAGCAGAAGGAAGAAAGGATGGAGGCAGAGGGGTTTGGATACAGCGAGAGAAACTCCTCTGGGAATTACACACCGATTTATACAATTTCTCACCATTTTATTAAGAACTGGTGAGTTTCAGACTTGTTCCTTTTAGATCCCAATCAGATCGTTTACAACGAGTTCCTCAAACCCAAGGCTGCAAACTTGGGCAGTTTTGTTGCCACTCGGATGAGAGGAGGCAGGGAGCCTCCACTCATTCGCACACAAACGCCTACAGCATAAATATATTTGGTCGCATCTCCATACACATAAATCATCCACTGCATCTATCTATTTTCCGTACCCCAACGAGCCCGTCACTGAATTAATAGTCGAATTTTATCCATATATTGTTTTTCTCGCGGCCGTAAAGAACCTGATAAGCGAACGGTCCACTCCGTTACCTGGAGCGTTGGCATATTGCTCTCGATCTTTCACTTTTTCCACTTTCGCCCACCGCTGACACGTTTTCCATTTCATTCACCCAAACTTCCGCAACCATGAAACTTCATTACGCCATCGTCCTCGTCGTCTCTTTCCATTCTGGGTGCAATATTGGGTAAGGGAAACGATGGCTACTCCTCCACATGCGGTGACTCCCAAAAAATCGTTCTCATTTCTTGGCTTATCATCATTGCATCGCCAGCGTCATCAAACGCCTCAACCACTTTCCACCAGGGAGGGAGCTTTATTATTAAGTTTGTTTTGAGGGCAAACCTAAAACCTTTTTGTCCCAATGATTGCATTTATGATTTTCAATAATAGCGGGAGATGAAAAACCCGAGATTCAAATTTAGATCGCAGCTCAGCCTCCGAATAAGATAGCTCCTGTTGGAGCAACACAAAGGGACAGAAAGGCTCCCCATGTTTCCCATTTTTGCATAGAAAACTTGAGATCCAAGTGATGAGAGGCTGAGAAAACTTAATTTTTCCTCAGAGGAAAGAAGTCAAGCCGCGTCTCACCTCACGCTGGAAAAATAAGTAATAGGATGCAAACAGGGCCAAATTACGGGGAAGAGATGAACAATTTCAGCCATAATGGAATACAAGAGGGGATTTCATCTGCCAATTTACATCCTTCATTTCCAATCACCGTCATGCGAGTCGTGGATCCGCCATCGCCGTCAACGACCAACGACCACTCCGACTCCACTTCCCAATAAGATAACCAACCAACTGAAGCCGTACCGGTTGGTTGGCTGGTTGGGGAGAAAGTGGAGGAAACGAGATAAGGCTTTGCGAATTATCTGCAACACTGGTCATAAATTTTAGTCGACTTCATCGAGTCGTCATTTGTGAGTGGGAAGGTGTTCCGGGTGTATTAGGACATAACTCGATTTGACGGAATCCTTTGAATCTCCGCTTCCACACATTGTTATTAAAACAGGTTAAAAACTCTTTGTGAGGAATGTGGAATCAGCGAATCGGCGGAAGGAGATACCTTCTCACATTTTAGATTGCATTCTCTGCGGCCGTGCGGGTCTGCTTCCCATCCTCTTTTCGGGTGCTGAGCAGTGTTTTTCCCAAATCACCAAATTTAAGTGACTCCAATGGAACGTAAATTGGAAGGAGCTCCTCGGAAGAAGAAGCAGCAGCTTGGTGGATGGATTGTGGCTGATGACGATGATGGGGTTGGTTTGCTTTCATGCAGCACTTTGAGAGGAGTGAAAGTAGTGAAAGTCGGTTTGTCGGAATGTTGGTGTTGATTTGGTCTTAAATCTCGCAGAAAGGGAATGGAATGTTGAGTGGGAATTTATTTACTTCAACGTCAGCAGTAAACAATGAATGACCCAGTAGTGAAGCGAAACGTGGAGTAATGGTTCCTCCCACAACTTCCCCTCTCTCTCCCATTCAATCCAACGGCGTGAAGCCCACAATGAAACGAAATCTTTTCACCCCAACTTTTTTTGTACTCTAAAATCCATGTATGTACAGAGTTGTAGATTTCTCGTGCTGATATATAAAAGTGGATGTGTGAGTTACAAGTTAATTTATTTTCCTACATATTTCACTTTCCAACGCGCGCTTTTTTGCACTCGTCCTAATATTTCTCAAGAAACGCATCAATCTTGTGAACCAAATTGTATACGTTGGGGCAATTGAAATCCCATTAAATTCTTCATTTCATTAACGTCCTTTATGTACCATCACACTCTGTTTATTCTGTCGTATTGTGAACACTCATCCGGCCAAGAATTGCGTCATACATGCAAAATAATAGGGCAGAGCGGATATGACGAGAAAAGCTCAAACTACTTATTTGCAAGTTTCTTTCCTTGCGGAAAGTTTGTCAAATTTTGCAACCAAATTGTGGAGAGGAAGAGCGTTCCTTTTCACTACTTAAATATATGCATACGAATAGAATGCACGATGGGCAGTATGAAATATACGTACGTAACTGGACCGCGTTTCAGTTTCTCCGTCCGCGTGGAGGAGAGAAAGTCTCATTTTCCTTGTGCACGTCCATTCACATGTTCCATGCAAAATTCCGCACTCGCTTTTCCTCCGTGGCTCCTTTTCCTTGGAGAAAGTGGAGTCGGCGGCCCATTTGGGAGAGCAGGGCGGACTACAAAGGAGGGAATGAACCGTGGCAAATGGAAAGCGGATATGTTGGCAGGAGCACAATGGGCGACGTATCTACATTTGGGAGTCCATTAGGAAAAAATAAAACGTTTAAATCCCCTCTTCTCACCCACCCTCCGCCACCACGTATCGATGACAAAGCGGATGTGGCACATTACAATAAGTTGTTTGATACTACAAATTGCAAACACGAAACATGACACAGAGCTGCAAATCTGCTGGGAGTGGAAGCAGTTTGCCTGACCCTCAATTCAAAGCATGGTTGATATATTTATTTATGTCGTGTGTGTCTAGTCACCTCTTTCTTGAGGATTTCTCTGCACCTCCAACGAGGCGGATGCAGGAGGGATGTGCAGTGGACTGATTATTATGTAAAGTGTAAACAGTGCCGGAGGAGGAAGAGGAGCATTATTTATTCGGGAGGGAATAAAATATTGGAATGGGTTTTACTCCGACTGGGTGTTGACAAGTGGGCAATAAAATAAAATGAGGAGTGTAGACAGCTGTAAAAGAAATTCAATTCTTTTATTCTCCCACTTTCTCCTCTCCTCGCTGGCTGAGCTTGGGTGAGAAAAGAGTATTGGGAGCGAGGCGGAATAAAATTATCCCCTGCCCAATCCCCTTCTAATTTTATTACAAAAGTCCACATTTTTATCTCCGCATATGCTTTCTCCTCACTTTCTCCTCCGCGTAGGCAAAACAATCCTCGACTTTTGATGCACAAACAAAGTGGAGGAAAGCCAGGCGTAAGTTTGGTGCATTAGGTGGCATGGGATTAGGTCGTGGTGGTGGTGGTCCGTAGTATAGACTGACTGCCTCAACTACAGCCATTCAACTAATCTCCCAACACGAGTCCAAGTCACACCTTTTCTCGGTGTAATCTTTCCCCAGCACAAGACCAGGGCTGCCTCGATGGGCGATGAAACTCAAGCCGAGAAGGAAGGAGGAGGAACACTCGAGAGGACAGAAATCTTGGACCAGGCCACTTAAGTCAGTCCGAGAGAGAGAGAGACATCATCAACGAGCAACTTGAGGACTTGATACGTATAACCACATTATCACCGCTGTTGGATGCAAGTACCTTCCACCGCTGCCGAGTGGTGACCAAACCACCTTTCTCCTTATGACCACCTCCAAGCAGGCAAGACAGGAGAAAGCTCCAGCTTCTAATCCGGATTAAGTATTAAGTGTTATCTCCACCGCCGCCGCCACCCGTCCATTCACCGGCATGCACTACGAAGACCTGCTAAAAGAAGAGCTAAGGAGCCATGTTAAATTAGAGGATGTCGAGGCATTAGTTCCAACAACTCGTTATTTTCATGCTTTGCTCGAAATGTCAAATGGCTGGATGAGAAAGTCAAATGAGTCGTAAAATTAGGAGGTGAGACTCAGGCAGGGAAATTATGGGATTTCCATGCTGCGAGGAGGAGGAGACCGCACAATCCTTAAACAAGCAACAATATGTAAAGTGGATGGAAACGAATGCATAATTATGAAGTGACAAATGATCATCACTGACTGCACAGTCTCACCTCTCCCAATTTGACGATACAATAGTCATTGTTTGGCCATAAATCAGAATGGCGTGGTTTTATTGAAGGTCATTATTCCCTGCTGTATACATGGGTTTGCTGTAGTTTTACCTGTAAATACTCGGCACGACCAGGTAAATGTGTTTGCGAGCAGATGTGGATGTTGCTGAGCCCGGTCGACGTATCTCGGAGAACAGGAGGACTATTCCAATTGCCCTTTCCCTTGTTCCATTATGGTTATGAGCGTTTCTTGGGCAGGGAGATTTTGGCATCCAAAATTTAGCCAGCAATTCAACGTCGATTGGATTAGGTGGTCATTGGGGAATTAAGAAATAAATACTGGAGCAGATTGGCTGCACGTAGTCTCTCCGTGTGTATAAGTACACGAGGCAGTCGAGATGCCCCACCTGCCTGCCTACCTCCATGTACACAGTTGCAGGGGTTATGTGCATGGAGGGGATGAACGAAATAAGCAACCTCGCGGCCGAAGCACCTTTCTCCTGAGGCGAATGCATGCTGAGACACTTGAGAAGGTGGCTAATCATTGGTCTGGGAGCAGCTTGAGGAAATCATTTGAGGTGAAGCAAGAACTACTCAAATGGTCATTTCGCAACAAGAAATGGTCACATGGGGCCTGTCAAAATGGCTCAACTTTTGTGGGCTCTTCAGCCACAAATGCCACTTCCCACTTTATTTGTGTTCTTGAGCAGAGACCGATTTGGCCCTTGACTTTTACTCTTCAAGAAAATGTTCCACGATACACAATACGTTCATACCTACCTACGTGCAAAAAAAGTGAGTGAGCAAAATATTTTGTAGCCAGCTCGTCATATAAAAAAAAGCCTACACTTGAATCAGTGTTCCACGAAATAAGAAAATATGTAAAAGTACAAAAGTTGCCCGACTTTGCGTTGCGGAAAGTTTTAAATTATCTAAAATCTTAACTGTTATTGCCATTTTGTTGTTTGCACTCA